TGAACTTTGCTACCTCTAAATAAGTCAACATTTGCATGCTTCATGGTTGCTAGTGAAAAAACATCTTTTGAGGCTTTAGGAGTAATATTTTATTCAAAACTCGATTTTATTACTCATGTTTATTAGAAACTATTCTCAAGAACAACTGCTGTTGATATTCAATATGGACTCCTTGCAATGCAGAATTATAATTTCAGCTGTATTGTTTTTTCACAAAGTTATCAATAAGATAATTGATCGTACAACATTGCTAAATTTAGTAAGGTTTGCTATACCTAGAATAAATTCTAGAAATAGACTAATTTTATCCCCTTATGTATCGAAGACTAATGTAGGTTTAAAAACGCCATTTTCTATAATTTCAAACTATGTTAATGAGTTAAGTGATTTGGACCCAAACTTTTTAAGCAGCAGAGCATTTAGGTTGCCCTTTAAAATATAACGGCACACAGATGTTATTGTAGTTAGATAGGTAAAGTTTTTATTTTTATTTTAGAATTATGAAAATGGTTTCAGAGTAATTCCGGATTAAATCGTATTTTTTTTTGTAAAAATATTTAAATTTAAACTTTTATTTTGATTGTTTATTAAAACAGTGTCAATTATTTGTAAGGCAGTTTTTATTATACCTATTGTCCTCTAACTGGAAATAATTTCTGTTGGGCAATAAATTTATTTGTTTATATATTTATTTATTATTTAAATAAGAAAATGCAATTACAGTCCCGGTTAAAATGTTCAGCGACTTTGAATAATAAAAAAAAAAATCGCAAAACATACATTTTTAGGAAATGTACCAAACGAAACTAAGTTTATTAAAGTAGAAAGCTGTTGTAGGAAGTTTAATTCGCGTAATTTATGGATTCATTTTTGTAAATTTATGCATCCTTAACGGAGAGACACTAAAAATATAACCATAAAAGTGTCGACTGTAAACTGTAACGCTTAATTGGAATTTACAATTGAGCTTGTTATCGTATCTTAAATAATACAATTAATAATTTATATAAGAGCAGTGTAAAGCTAATCTACCATTGCTTTTAGAGAGTTTAAAACCCAATCAAAAGTACATTAAGCATAACAGTGCGTGTCTTTTAGAGATACAAGATGAAGTTTTTTATTGTAATTTGTATAGTTTTTAGTGTAAGTATTCATCTATCTGTTGCAAGAGGTAAGCCATTTCGAATTAATAATGATAATATAACTTCTATTCAACATGGAAAATTAATACTCTAAAAAACACTAAAACACTGTAAAAATGTTAAACTAGTACTACACACTAGTTTTTAAAATAACACTGTTATTTTATTCGACGTTAGTAATTGTAGGATTATAAAATTTTTAAAATTAAGTGCAACAAAATATCCATAACTAAATAGGAATTATAAAGTCACTCCAAATCTTTTCTCTCCTTATTTCCTTGTCTAGAAGGAATAGGCTCCAGCCTACGATACGTTTTGGCTGTTTCCATTATTCTCCTCAATCACGTCTTGTCAGTTTGCTTCCATCTTTATGGCCATATTCTTCAGATCTTATATTATTTGGTCCTTCCACGTACTCCTTTGTCGCCCCTTTGGATTGGTTCCACTCCCTTGTTTCCTTTCTTCGTATTATTCCCATTCCCATATTATTCTTTTTATATTTTCGTTCTTTAATCTGGTTCGGGCCGCATAGTTATTTTTCTCAGTATCTTTCGTTTAAATTTCCTCAAAGTTTGTTCACTCACTTTTTTGATATTGGTTTAAGGGCTGACTTATATATTTTCGTTTTAAGGTTCCTACTTTTTTGTTTTGTTTTTTAAAATATTTATAATATTTTCTGTGCTCTGAATGTATTCTCCGTATGGTTTCCATTTTGCGTCTGTGCGTGTTGTTTATTATTATTAATACCCACCCCTTCATATCTAAAGCTGTCGGCTGATGATTGGAAGTCGAACTCTCTTTTCTTTATACTTTGCGTTCTTTCTTCTGCTCTTTTTCAAACTACCACAAGCTTGATTGGAGTCAACGAATAGAATCTGTACACCTAAAATTGTTTTATCTATCATAACACATACTTATATTTTTCAGTAGTAACTACGTTTTTTCATACTATTATTATTTATTAGAGTTAAGAGAGCGTAAGCGTCGGTCCGTCGGTCTGTCCATTTGTTTGCCGTCCCGGATTTTTATTATACAGATAAATTTTTGAATATCAGTATTATCACACATTTTTCCGATTCCTTTACCATCGATTTTTCCTCCATAAGCCTACGACTAGCTTCTGCATTTTCATTCTTAATTCCTTGCCATGGTATTTTATCATTTCGTTCATAAAATCATCAGTTTCCAGTGTTTTTCTTTTTCTTACTCCTCTGCCTCTTCATCGTTTTTCGAATGTTATGCTACCATTCCGACTCCTTTTCTTCCCCCAGTAATTTTTTTAAGTTCTTTCCAGTTTTTATTCTCGATCTGTACGCTTGGTAACTTTTTGTTCTGATTTCTAATAATTCTGTATAATTTAGTGTAGTTCTTATTTTTTTTACTTCCCGAGCGTAAGTCTAGTAATCATGGCCACTTTTGTGTTTTCTCGACGCTTCATGACCCCTACATTACGAAAAAAGTAGTCTTCCGTTTCCGTCTATCTGTCTGTATAGTGTGTGTTTCCAAAGGAAGTATTGTAATCAAGTCCGTCGGCCGACTCTCTACTTTTACGTTTTCTCGACCTTTCATGACCCCTACAGGACCAAGAAATAGGTCTGCCGTTTCTGTCCGTCTGTCCGTCTGTCTACCGTCAAGGTGTTTTATTACACAGGTAATCTCCGCAAGTACTGGACCGATTGTTGTGAAATTTCGTGTTTACATTAGGAATATCATGTAGATGGTAAAACGCTAACCAAAATTTCTCTAATCATCCCCACCACTAATGCGATGGCGTCACTTCAAAATTGTATATAGTAAATGGGTTCTAAATTGTATAGAATAACGGAGTCCTACACATGTAGTTTATGACTCCGAATTGAGTTTTTACCCGAAACAGCCAAAAAAATCAAAATTATAAGACGACATTTTGCAATTTAATTTTGAATCTGCTAAACCGAATGCTTTGAAATCTTGCAGATGTTTTAAAGTTATAAGGAGCATAATAAATTTTTACTCAAAATATATTTGCTTATCCCCTCCAAAAAATTGGTGACGTCAGCTCAAAAGTTTGCCGAATAAATCCTATTTAAAATGTACAAAATATGATGAGTCTGTACAATTGGTGGACATATAAAACTGGTACAAACTGTCATAAAAATTATAAGGAAAATGAAAAATTTGTCTTGTGTAAATCTATCTTTATGACGTTGATGTTATGTGCCATGACAGATGGATAACGCATATTTGGCCGGCAACGGTTCCGGAAATCAAGTTTGATGCACACTAGGAAAATTGTCTTTGTACCAGTTTTATATGTCCACCGATTGTACTTGTAATTTATCATTTCATTCATATTTTTTGGATTTGCATATACAGGGTGACTCAAAAAAATTAATGAATCCGTAAATTTATTTTAGTGATTTACTCACGAACTATAAAACCGAATGCTTTGAAATCTTGGAGATGTTGTAACTTTATCATAAGCATGGTATATTTTTGATCAAAATGTATTTGCTCATCTCCCTAAAAAATTGATGACGTCAGCCCAAAATTTTGCTGAATAAATCCTATCTAAAATGTACAAAATATGCTGAGTCTATACTAGTGATTTATCACTGCATTATTATTTTTAGATTTGCTTACACGCGGTGTCTAAAAAAATTAATGAATGCGTGAATTTATTTTGGAAATAATTTCGGAGGCTTCCACGGTCGGAGTCAATACATGATCGTTTTCCGGGTTGAGACTTTGTTAATTGAGTTTTTGGGCTCAAAGTTTCGCACACTTTCGTAAGTGTGCAGAAGAGTTTCGTCTCTGTTATGGTTAACATACTGAGTTACCGTGCTCTTTTGACTTATTCCTAATTTCTCAACCCTGCTCCTGAAGATGCCACTTACGAAAGTGTTTGAACGTTGAGCCCAAAAACTCAATTAACACGGTCCCAACCCAGAAAATGATCTTGTAGTGAATTTATTTTATTGATTTATTCAGAAACTGCAAAACCGAACGCTTTAAAATCTTGAAGATGTTTTAAAGTTGTCATGTAGATTGTAAAACGCTAACCAAAATGTCTCTAATTATCCCCATCAACAACGTGATGACATCCCCTCAAAATTTTCTCCAAAAATAGAACTTGAATTGCATAAAATATTATATTCCGACACTTGTGTTTTATTATTATTTTTATTGTTATTGTTTAAAATCGTTCATACGATAAATATAATTAATACGTGGCTCAGCAAGCGTGGCCGGCGGCTCAGTGGAGGTGAAGTCTGCATTGCAATTGGAAGTCCAGGTTACGGATCCTGGCACTTCCAATTTTTAATTGGTCATATTAAGAACGAGTCACCCCATTTTCTCGAAAATGTGAAGAATACGCACGTCTTTATATAATAATTATAAAATAAGAATTATAATATTCAGAACATTTTGTTCGATTGTGGTTTAATTAATAATTTTAGTACTGTGTTTTGAGAAGACAAACTCATTCAAATCAAACTAATTTCCACGTGACATTCTTTCGATGTATAAACATAACTAAACACTTGGCCGTCAGATTGCTATCACAAGTATTGAAGGACAAGGGTTGTTAGAGATGGATTATTTTAAGTTCAACATGGTGAGTCATCAGAATCTGACAACGGACTGTCAATCAGCAGCGTAACATGCACACTTCAGAAGGGGGTGGTTTTTAAATTAATTTTTTTAAATCGCAAACAATAACACACGGAAGCATAAACTTAAGTGAACGGGTACCCCTGATTTTTTTTCTTAAGAATCACAATTTTGAAATTTTCTTATAAATGACATTTGATTTGCTTAAAATTATCCTATCATAATAAGAAATGTTACGTAATGGTAAATTTTGCTATGTTTCAGAAATCCCAGAAAACTTTATGGATTTGTTCAGTAAACGGATAATCCCTCCAACATATTATGAAAGCGACGCGAATGGAGAACGTTGGATTCTACCAGAGAAAAACTCACTAACTATGCGTTCGTTTGATTCCGAAGATACTGAAAGTCCAATTCCAATATTTCAAGATGTTGTAAAAATTATAAAATACGTTACCACTAGTACCAGTTTGACAGAGGCATTAAAGAACTTATTTGTCGATTTGATAAATCCAATTCTACGAATGTTAGGAATGGCACCAACAAGTTGGTCAAAGATCGGCGATACGCTCATAAGGCATGTTTTGAATTTTTTCCAAAACTCAGCACTATCATCACTAGTTAAACTTCCAAGTGCACTGCTTTCAAACCGAATTTTTGGTGAAAGTGACGAAGACTTCTCTGATGGTTCCAATGCGTGGTCGATGCCACAATTCTTTGGAGATTACAGCTGGAATAAATGAACGCAGTCTTTTAGTACTGAGATCCTGTGTTATCGAAGAAAAGTGCTTTGAGTAACAATGTTGATTTTACCTTAACTTAGCTTCTTAATAAATGTATTCGCATAAAAATATTAATCGAGTCACACATTGCCCTTTTTACGTCCATTGGGCGACTGGCTACTTTCATATTTTCTCGATGTGTCATGATTTCTAGAATACAAAAACATTGGTTTCTCGTTTCTGTCTGTCAATCTGTCTGTCTCAGTGTCTACGTCTCTGTGTCAATTTTTGTTAGACCCATCATCTCCGATTTATGTCAAATTTTATGTTACGATTATCATGTAGATTGTTAAACGCTAACCAAATTTTGTTTGGTCATCCCCAACAACAATGTGATGAGTTCACCTCAAAATTCTACATAGTAAATGAGTTTTAAATTGTATAAAATAACTAAGATATCTAGATTTTTGGAAAAAAAATCAAAATTTTGTAACATTTACTTAGCAATCTAATTTTGAATCTGCAAATCGAATATTTTGAATTCTTCAGTCAAAAATGAAGCCACCAAACAAAACAAATAATTTCAAACGTGGTGGACTATCTTGATAGAAACCAAGATGTTTAGGAATTTAAGAAAAACAGGAAGACAGAACTGGCCGCAGAAATATTGATAATTTCGGTAAAATCTGTCTACAGGCTACAAAAAAGTCCAGGTTTAAGTGACTATGATACAAGAAAAGTATGTCTTCTAGAATTGGTCACATAAACGCAAAAGTGAATCCTGTAGATTTAATGTCAGTCCGGGAGATTATCAAAATTTGTAAAATGAGTTCAAACGGTGTTCCGAGCGATTTTTTACCGGAAAATATATTAAATAATGTAAAACAAGCTTTGAAAAGCTCAATAATAGAAAAGTCAGAAGCCAGATACCGAAAATGCTACGATACATTCAAAAAGTGGCAGATTCTATACAAAACTCACTTGACATACACCTTGTAAAACTTTTATGACTAAACCGGCTTAAGCCAAAGCACCCTTATAAGTCAAACTAGCTATTGTATAACTTAACTCAGTTCACATGTACCTAGTAAAACTTTACAGCTCCATTATGGCAACAATAATAATAACGACAGTAATAATCCTTGCGTTTGGTGATTTAGCTTAAGTCGCTTAAGTCATAAAAGTTTCACAAGGTGTATGTAATGAGTTTTGTATAAATAAAGTTTCAATTATTAATGAAGATGTTATGATGGCATATTTCAATGAACTGGTAAGTCTTCATGCGTGGTGTTAGTGTATTTATTTGTTTTTTTTTCTTTCTTTTAGTCGCAGAAATACAATACAATGCCTCATGTTATGGACGTATTACTCGATTTTTAATAAGCTAGAATTCGCTTTTGTTAAAAAGCAAACCGTAGGCTCAAGTTTTAACTGCAGAGGAGTTTAGACGATTTTTATCTGAAGCAGACGACGAACAGTATTTATGCGAGGTTTGTAATTATGATTCTTTAATTCGAAAGTAATTTTATAAATAATTTTTAGGTTATTGCTATAACATATGACGAACTGATGACACCACCATCGGGAATTCACTTTTCCGGATGCACCGTCGTTAACTTTTATCATAATAGCAAAGAAAATTCCCATCTTAATTTGTATTAGATATCTTACGACTTTGTTTTGTCTTTTCATCGAGAAATTATATATGAAATTGTTATACGTTAAGAAAGAATAAATGTTAATAAATATTGAAATGTTAGTAAATGCTCTTGTTTAAGCAATGAAGAATTTTTTCAGTTGATTTGTCGTGAAATTTGGTATTATTGTAAAATTGACATATTTGTAATAATTTATAGGTACTGTTAGGTTATGCCATAGTCACCAGACTATTTTTGTGCATATGAAATACTTCTTAAGAGACAGAAACCGATAAAATATTGTATCAGTTTCTGTCTATTAAATGCCTGTTTACATTTATAAAAGTTAGCTGGTAGGAAAGCCATAACTGTATGCTGTTAAAATCGGTAAGGTAACGAAATGTCATTTCGTCGCCTGAGAACTTGTTTGATCCACAGACCAAAGCGCATTCAGGCCAATATCGACTCTAAACGATTTATCTCGTTTATATCGTTTCAAGCATCTGGTCAGACTATACGACGAATAAGTGAACAAAGTTCTTGAACATCTTAACGATTTAATACATAATGTTCCCGAATGACAAAATTTACATTTCAAATTGTATTATCAAATGGTACGACGCTCACCAAAATTTGTCGCCAACAATGAAATGACGTCATTTCCAAATTTTACAATAGTAGATGTGATTTAAATTTTATATCCTCCGTTTACGGTTTATGAAAAGAATCAACATTTTCCAAGTTATAGTTATTTTTGTTTATTAAAATTTATCTGTCCATGCCCCCAGGAATTGAATGATGTCATCTTACAATTTGATTGAATAAATGTTATTTAAATGTTAAAAAGTAGCATAGTCCTGAACTTGTGGTTTATAAATACGCTATTGAGATTTTTCGGCTTTTCAATTTCTCAATTTTTCAACTGTGTAGATGTCTCAATTTTTCAATATTTCAGTTTTGGGCTTTTTCAAATTTTCCGTTCTAGAAATTTTCAATTTTCCGATTTTTTATTTTTGGTTTTCTCAATTTTTGTCCTCTTCAATCTTACGATTTTTAAATATCTATTTCGATTTTTCAATTTTTCAAATTTTGACGTTTCTAAATTTTCAGTTCTCCGATTTCTGAATTAATCTTTTTTTTATTTTCCCATTTCTCGACTTCCAAAACTATCGATTTTTTTTAATTCTTGAATTTTTCAATTTTTCAGGTTTTTTGATTTTTTAATTTTTCGATTTTTTAAGCTTACGATTTTTTGAATTTGCTTTTTTAGTTTTTCGATTTCGTACTTTTCCAATCTTTTAATTTCTAAATTTTTGGATATTTCGGTTTTTCGACTTTTCGATTTTTGGACTCCTGGATTTTTTACTATTTGGATTTTCAATGTTTCCTTAAACTTTAGATTTCTCAACTTTTCCATGTTTTAATTTTTCACTTTTTAAAATTCTAGGTTTTTGCGATTTCTCGAGTTTTCGGTTCTTCTATATTCAATGTTTCACGTTTTAAAATTCTAAGTTTTTGTGATTTCTCGAGTTTTCCTATTTTTTTTTCATAAAATTTTTCGATTTTTCAATTTTTTGATTTCTCGGTCTTGAATATAGATGTTTCGATGTTTTGATTATTCAATTTCTCGATATATCAATTTTGAACATTATTTCTTCTCGGCTTCCGACTCCTCACTCAATTTCTCGATGTCTCACTTTTTGAATTTTGTGATGTTTCGATTTTTGGATTTCTCGGTTTTTCGATTTTTTACTTTCGAGCTTTTCAATTTTTCGATTTTCCAATTTTCCGATGTTTCGATTTTACAGTTATTCGATTTTAAATTTTAAGTTTTTGAATTTTTATTTTCTGAGTTTTTGATGTTTGGATTTCTCGATTTTTCAATTCACGATATTTTAATAGTTCAATGTTTTAAATTTTAGATTTTTCGATTTCCCGATTTTTTGATTTTTCAGTTCTTCAGTATTTCTATTTTTCAAATTTTCAAATTTTGACGTTGCTAAATTATCAGTTTTCCGATTTCTCAATTAATCTATTTTTGATTTTTCCATTTCGCGACTTTTCGAACTTTCGATTTTTCAGTTCTTCAATTCTCCGATTTCTCGACTTTGCTTTTTTGGTTTTTCGATTTCTCAATTTTCAATTTTTTTAATTTCTCAATTTTTGCCTATTTCTTTCAGTTTTGGGATTTTCCAGTATTTTGATCCTTCGACTTTTCGATTTTTCTACTTCTGGATTTTTGGACTTTTTATTTTTTGGATTTTCAGTTTTTCGTTTTTTAAACTTACGATTTTTCAATTTATCGACCGTTTTATATTCCGATTACTCAATTTTTCAACTTTTCGATATTTTAATTTTTCAATTTTTAAATTTTCGATTTTTCAATTTTTTGAAATCCCGCTTTATCGAGATTCGGATGTTTTGGTGTTTTGATTGTTCAAGCTGTTGATTTATCTATTTTTCCATTTTTAACTTTTCGATTTTGGCCTATTTCGGTTTCTCAATTTTCATATTTCATATTCATATTCAAAGTGCAAGCTACTCTTCATATTGCTTCATATTTTCTATGTACAGAACAATTTTATAGTTAGATCGATTAAACAATAAAAATTAAAATAATCATTTAAAAAAAATCAAGATGACTTCATAAACTACAAGTACAAGATTATGTTATTTTATAAAATTTAGATAACATGTACCATGTAAAATTTTGACGTCATCAAATTGATGGTGGAGACGATCAGAAAAGTTTCGGTTAGCGTTTTACTATCTATATATTTCTATCATGCACATAAAATTTCGCAAGAATCACTCCAGTAGTTTCGGAAATTATCCCTCTAATAAAATATTGACAAAGACGACAGACGGACGATAGACAAACGGAACCGGGAGACTTATTTTATCATACTTATTACAATATTTCGTGTGTTTATTCAAATATAAACAAAACGACCGCGGAAAAAGTGCGACTAAATTTGTCGCCACAAATATGTACATATTTAAACGAACAAGTCTGGAACTGGAACAGGAAATTCCGCGATAATAATAGATAAAAGTAGGAAATAAATATATACATACATTTTGAATCACTAATGTACACCGAGGTATGTAACGTCCTGTGTTTCTACGTTTAGATCACATTTAAAATTTGAAAACCTTAAAAATCCAAAGTTAATAACTCAAACAACGAGACTCACTTAGGAAACTTTTATGCTGTGACTTGTTGCATACATAAACACCGCACCTTCATTAACTTTTACATTTTCTAGAAATTTTATTTGCTTAGCACACCTTCCCTATTAAACAGAAACTTGTATAGTAAGTAAAACATATTTTCTAAGGTTATGTGGCAGCAAGACAGTTCTTAACCACTAATAATGGAGT